ATTATTGATAAGGGGGTGAATTATTTTTAAAGTTAACTTGCCTTTTTTATAATTTCTTATTCTAGTTTTTTATTTTTAAGTACTCTATTCCTTTTATTCCTATTATCTCATTTCAATGAGCATTCCTTGTCTGTCTGCATTATTTACTGCCTGTTAATACTCCTTATTTTGTTATATTACACAGCCTTATGCTGGTTTAGTGTTTACTTGCCCCTTGCATGGGGATATGTACATACACATTGAGAGCTGATGTACCAGAGTCAAATTCCTTGTGTGTCTGACACACCTGGCCAATAAAGCTGATTCTGATTCTAGTTGTTGATATCTTTGCACCAGTGTGGCTAAGATGAATTGCTGTGCAGTGCATCTTTATGCAGCTGCTGAACACAGTGATTTTATTTTTCCTTGTTTGCATCACCATACAGTTTATTGTAGAGCTGAAGTCCCACCTCTTTTCCAGATTAGCTTCTGTTCTTCCCTTTATACACTCAGTGTAATTTCTTACCCATTAGACTAGGTACAGAAAAATTCAGTATCATGTTTGGGTTTCTTTTAAAATCCTCTCTGAAAATATACTTCCTGGAGAGGCTAATGCAACTGAAACTAAATTGAAAATGAGTCCGGGCTTCATTATTCTGGTCTACAGGGACACTGTAATGCATTTAGAACAATATTCTGCTAGGTCTGACTGTGCTCTTCTCACTGGTTTAATGTAGGTGGGGTTTAGTTGGGTCAAAGTGATGGCGCAAACTTCTGAGCATCAATTATCACTTAGCAACATGGTGGGTTGTTTGCTTATATTGTTTGTAGATTGTCAATTTAATCTGAAGAGATCACACCAGACTGTTACAAATCACCTGAATTTTTCAGTTAACCACTTAATAAATAAGTATGGATGCTTTTTTAAAACTTTAACTTAATTTGTTGCTTATTTTCTCAGGAATATTTAATGTTCAAAAAATACTAAAGATTTTCAAATGTAAATAGTCACTCCTTGTCATTTGAGAACTGGGCCGTTACTCCAGCGTGAGAACAGGTACTTGAGGAAGTAAAAAAAGAAAGAAAGAAATCACATTATGCTAAAAGTGGAAACTTTCACATCTTCAATGTTTTCAAATAGTATATGCTACTGAGTTCTCACATAGTGGGACTGCCCCTTGTAGCTATGCTTCATTGCAATGGCTGTTTCATTGTGAAATACATAATGAAACTGCCACACAGGTACTTTTGCATTCTTTGCCTTTGCAGAATTGCAGATTGTTGGTTTTGTGAAAATACCTCCTACAATCTCAGTCCACAACAAAATATGTTGTTCCAGTATTCACCAGCAGCAGTGCAGCACAGTACACAGTATACAGTACAATAGTCTGTATAACCTACAGGTGCATACTATCTGCTAAACCTTATCTATCTACCCTGCCAGACAGTCATAATGAATTTATCAATTAGTCCAGGCAGTGTGTGCCCTTGGGGCTGCAGTCCCAGCCCTCGCCTCCTCTGCACTGAACTTCAATCAGTCATCCTGTCAGAAAAGCAGAGGGGAGAACAACATGGCGGAGGTCTTTTGAAAATTTGTTAGGTCTAACAGTGAAGACAAACCTTTCATAAAACTATATTAGAAAACATTTCCTCTCATGTACAGTTACATGTTTTGCATATTAAAGTGCTCCTTCATTAAACGGATTGAACAAGCAAACATTGTGTTTTTACAAAAATATATATCATTTAATTGTGGTGTGATTTGTAAAATTTAGCTATGATAAATCTAGAAAACTGTAAAGCACTTGTGTTGAGGTCAGTGTAATGTAAATTTTCAGTCTGGGAAAACTGATTAATTCAGTCTACCCCCAGAAAGCAGTCAAGGCTTTGATGATGTGTCTCCCCTCTAGAGGAAAGCAGAAGAACTAGACTGAAAACAGAGTGCACTCATACTGTACTTAAAGCAAAATAAACTTTATTCATATTTTTGTATGTACAGTATATAGTGAAACACAAGGCTAAATACAAAATACAAAAACACAATGCAATACAACATATTTTCCCATAAGACATTTCTCAGTTAACTTATATGCAGATCAAAGTTCTTGTGCTTTAAAATCTATAAAAAAAAAGTAAAAGTAAAGTACTGTACCAAAAACTCAAAGGTTAGGTTTCTCATTCAACTCAATGGGGAAAGTGTCTCCAAACGTTTCACTTGTATTATATCTAACGTGCAAAAACAAATCAATACTGAAAATCTGTGACAAGCATAACCAAAAGTACTATTGTCAACTGCAAAGAAAGGATAAAGTCATATTTAAGAATGGATAACTTCGTATATTTTATCAAACTTTCTGAGAGTTTGTTTACGTAAGTGACAAGCATCACCAAAAGAAATATTGTGAGCTGCAAAAAAAGAATAATGCCATATTTAAGAAAGGATAACTTCATATTTTTTATCAGGTTTTCTGACAGGCTGTAATCATTACTGCAAGTACCTGCTGGCACAAAAGTAAACATTCAAAGCAAAACTTGGAGGAAACGGTTAGATGTGTGTCAGTGCACACAGGTTGTGTTTGCTTGGGAGGGGAGCACATTGTGGTTTAACCACTTGAAACTGACAGGCAGCTGGTGGTGGAGCTCAGCCTACATTTTTTGGGTGCCCTGCGAGGCTTGCTTGGCGTTGGTGGTGGGGATGCCACAGTCAGATTTCTGACCTTGTTGAAACTGTTCCTCAGACTGTCCCTTCTGCTCTCTGAGGTGCTGCTGGTGTCCTTGGATGTGAATGCATCTGGGTGACAGAGGCCGGCCCTCAGGCAGCAGCAACACAGCAACTCAGCAATAGCCTTCCTCATCTCGCTGCTGCCCAGGGCATAAATGACTGGGTTTAGGGCAGAGTTGAGAACAGCCAGGGAGATGAAATAGTCAGCACTGAACAGAAGTGCACAGTGGCGGGAGGTGCAAAAGAAATCCACCAGTAACAGCAGGAACAGTGGCCCCCAGCACAGCATAAAGACCCCAACGATGCTGATCACAGTTTTAAGCAGAGCCAAGGAGCGCTTGCGACTGCGCTGGGGGCCCAATTGTGCACTCTTGTGTACATGGCAGTAGATGGCACCATAGAGCACTCCAATAGCCAGGAGGATGAGGAAGAAGATAAAGAGGGAGAAAAAGATGTAGGTCTTGGAGTAGAGAGGGAGGAGGGTGGAGCATTCATCTAGGCTACATATGCAGTTCCAGCCCAGCAAGGGCAGGAAGCCAATCACTAGTGCCAAAACCCAGCAGAGTGCCACCAAGCCATAGATCCTGTAGTAGGTCGTCTTTGCTGGCTTCTGGGGCAGTGGCTTCATCATAGCGGTGTAACGTTCCACAGCAATCAGCATCAAACTGAATATGGAAGCTGCCAGGGCCACAAATAGCATCCCTTCCCTGAAGAGCCACAAAGCAGGGGTGAGGTAGAACGTCTTGTTGCCAGACATACAGATGTTGAGCAGGTAGGCGGCACCGGTGAGGAGATCACTGAGTGTGATGTTGGCAATGCAGACATAAACCCATCGCCGGCTTTGGCGGATGTGGGAGATGACGGCCACCAGCACCAGGAGATTCTCCAGGATGATGAAAACACTGACGAAGAGAAAGATGGCCATGGTAATACTGATATGGTTCTGGGTGTTTGAGATGGTCCTGTTTTGCAGGCGGCCAGTGTGGTTGTAATGCCTCAGAATCACATGGCTGATCTCAGCGGCTGCAGTGGTGGCATTGCTGCGGTAACTGGGTGTGTGGTACAAGTTGGGGCAGGAGGAGGGGGAGGTGAGGGAGGAGAAGACATTCATAGCAACAGCTGGGCTGGTCAAGATCAAGGCTGTGGGTGGGAAAAGGTTGAAGCAAGATGGTACGAGCTGCACAGGAATTAGTGTGACACTCCTGTGATCAAACAGGCTGACACACTCTAACCACTGGAGCTCTCTGTCTGTGCTCAGCGCACACCTGAGAAGACAAAAGAAGAAGAAATTAGAACAATTTCAACAAGGCATCTCTGTGAAAACAAAAAATTCTCCTTGTTCTTATAACGGCACTGTGTGCATCCTCATTACAACACTTCAATCAGTTTAAAAGGCCCGTGCGCCCTGGCACTCCACCTAGTTGTGGTTAACACAGGATGAGCGAGCACCTGCAGAGGGAATTTAAATCACTACATGAAAAAATACGCACAAGAATGCTAAAAAACATTTGCTTACAGTTCTGCTATAATTATAAATAATTGCAAAATAGCAAAAACACAAGTTTTGGGTTTGTGGTTGTTTTTTTTTACCCTCCTCAGTGAACTTAATCAAAGACAGTTAATGAAAAATGACCTGTAAATATAAAGTTTTGTCATAAGGTTTCTATAGTTTCAAATGAAGAAAAGCTTAAAAAGGCACAGAGTTATCCACACCGAGGACTGTGTGCCACACCAAAAAAGTTAAGTTGAAATTGTGAAATCTATTTAAAAAATCAAATATTTAATACTGTATTCTAATTGTATCTTATTATGTGTTGAAAACAGGTAATCACAGGTAATTATCAGAGGTATAGAGTGAAGGGAAGTCAGTGCAGTGGAGAGTACTTACTCTGGCTGTTGGTGGTGATGCTGAGTATTTGAGAAGACAGCAGTTGTAGCTGAGTACAGCCTTTTGCAGCACACTTCTGATGGGGAAGTAGAAGGTTACATAGTTATACACCCCACCCAAAACACATCACACGCACACACACACACACACACACACACACATACAATATGCAACAGCAAGATTGCCATGTTTGTTCCATCACCTTGTAAAGAGAAAAAGCAACTGTGAGAATTTCACAGTTTCCTACAGTTTTAAAATTTCACAAAAAATTCACATGTTGTTTGATGTTTATCTACTACTTTTTGCAGAAGATGTATTTTTATTTTAATATAGAGTTTACAATGTTTGCTATTTTTTTCTGGCATCATCAATATGATCATATTTTTCTGAAACATCACACAGATGTACTACTGCACATCAGATGCCATATGCCATTGCTCAAGTGTAAGCTTATACAGGAAAGGCTTTTTCAAAACACATGCCACACTAAACCAGTTTAAAGCCTTCTGCAAAGTGACATGACTCACTATGTTTAAGGATATGGGGCAAGAATCACTTGCACTTACAAGACCATGATAGCTAGTTAAGGCATTATTACAAAAGCCTCAAATTAAATTTGTTTTTTTTCTCAATATTTCTCAGAAAAAGAGAAAAACAGGAACTCCCAATCAGATGGAAAGGTGCCCCACCCTGCAGATAGAGGGTTTCATACATCTCATCACACACAGCTGTGGTTGCTAGTTTGGGTAGACAGCCACAGTCACACTATTCATTCCACGCTATATGCATGTCACACTTGACTTCAGCAAACCTTAGACCATGTACCCAGCAGACCCTAACCACATGCCATAAGACGGGCAGTGTCACTGAGGTTATGATCACTTTCTAGTCAATCATAAACACATAATATACAGAGAACCAGCACATCAGGCATCTTGCAAGCACCATAAAATGATGCCAGACCCAAAATCAAGAAACTGCTTTTCAAATATGAGCAAAACCAGAGCTTGTGGCCGAACACATTTGCCCATCAGAGTGGAGTTTTCAAAAAGCTATCATTATCTCTTTCGGGTTTTCAGCAAAGTGCAGCTAATTGTATCACTGCACTATAATTATCATTTGTCAAATGCTTCAAAAGTATACTAGTCTGCTCTGAGAAGAAGTCATATGAAACCTCTGGGAAAATAGAACTACAGTATAATCATGCCCCAGATGTGTTCATAAGAAAATATTGTGAATCATAGCAGTTGTTAGTATTTTATTAATTAAATAAGAAAATGTGCCAGTGAGTATTATATGTCATCTTCTATGTCCATCACAAATATGTTCGATATGTTGATAGCTCAGTAGTTCTTCAGTTTGTACCATTCACAACTAAGACCAGGTTGTGCATGTAAATAAAGAAACAATACAAGTGTAATATGACTGTGAGGTTCTTGACCTACATTGTGGAAATGTAATCAGGCATAAAATTCACCAGTCGCGCCAAAACAAAGGTAGTTAATTGATTGCACAACTTCCCTTTTTGTCTTCAGATGTAAAAGTAGCAGACATGCATTACTAACCATATTGTAAACAGTTCGATGCTGGTTGAATACTACTTCTATAATGATGCTGTAGTGAAGCAGCTTTTTTTTCTGAAGGAAATTAGGAAAAGAAAAATACTATTTAAAAACAAAATACACAGAAGGCAACAGCAGCCTGAGGTGTTAACAACACCTACATCTGTTGAAAACGCCCTTTCTTTGAAAATAGAACTTCAAATGGCACTCTAACCACATCTTGCGTATTCCGAACCATGTGTGTGTGTGTTTTCACTGGTAAGCAGGGTCGGCACTTTAGGCTCTTGTTGTAATGGTTCTGAGTATGCTGTAATGCAAAGAAAAGCATTATATGAATATAAGACCATTTACCATTTACAATACATTCAGAACGAGGGTTTCAAATTCCAAGGCAGGAAATGGAGAATAGGACAAGCAACAAAGGTCCACAGCAAGAATTGAACTGTGAATGTTGCAGCTGCAGCATGTGACATGAACTAAAGCCATTCAGTTATCAGGGCACTCTGTTCTTTTTTAATATAATTACTTAACAATACACTCTACCCTGTCTGTTTTTAAGTCTCTTTTAAAAACTCATTTATTTTCCCTGGCATTTTGATATTTTTGTGTTGATTTTAGTCATTTGATTGATTATATTTTATATTGTTGTTTGTGGTTTATAATGTATATTGTTTTATTGCAATGTACAGCACTTTGGTCCACTTTGGTTGTTTTTAGTGCTTTATAAATAAAGTTGGTATGGTATGGTATGGTACATAATAAGCAATGCTTGATCAGATGAGGAAAAAAACCTACATTATCTTTCACAGAGTAAAGACCTAGACAACAAGATTCTACTACAGACTGGTGAAACATTCCAGGAACAACCTGAATGAATGAGTGGTCTCTTCCAAGATGGCAGTGCCCCTGTCCATAGGGCACGAGGGGTCACTGAATGGTTTGATGAGTATGAAAAGGATATGACCTTTCTAGGACACATTATGTTGGTTTTTTTCCTTTCATTTATAACTCATATACATGGAAGTGTTTTCTTAAAAGCTCTAGGTTGAATGATTTCACACCTCCTGGATTTTACACAAACTAATATTTGTTTAATCAGTACTCAGTTAAATAGACCAAAATTTGGGTGAGCATTCCTATGGAAGCCATGTAAAATGGCGTTTTGACCAACCACTGGGCAATTAGTGGGTATAAGGCTCTGTGTCACAGTCTCACTCACGGTTTTGAATCTGGCCTGTTTTATCCCTGTTATTCTTGCAGCAGCCAGCAGTCACTCCTTGCCAGATTGTTGTTAAAGTATCTTTTTGACTTGTCAGCATCTATTCTGGCTTCTACCTTCCTTTCCCTTGTTCTCTGTTTGCCTACCCATGTGTGGACTGTAGTTTGTTTTCTGGTTCTGTTCAACTGTCTGCTCTGTACTGACATTGTTTGTTTGTTTCCATTATCTGCCAGAATTCATGCTGCCTTCACCCAAGCCAAGAGTAAGTACTCCGCAGCTTAGCTCAACCTTATAGCTTCATTATATCTGCTTAAGCTAAGTTGCCATGGCTGGTCCCACCGACAGCTAGAGAGAAAACCCACAAAATAGAACCGGAGTCCTATTCCATTAGTCCTAGCTGCGGTATTCAGGCGACCGGGCCTGGGGCAGAGACTCAGAGAGGGGTGGCACATTTAAAATGCATGTAAAAAGTAAATGAAACCTCTAGTTCTATGAAATAATAACCTATGCATTATTAAAACTCAAATTGTTTGAATGTCACTTTTGGCTTTTTCCTATTAGGGATCACCACAGCAAATCATCACACTGATGATTCGCATGTTGACATTTGGCATGTGTTTTACACTGGATGCCCCTCCTGACACAACCCTGACTCAAACCTGGGCTGCAGCGGTGGGAGCACTGCGCCCTAGCCACTAGTCTATCAGGGGACCCTGAGACACTCAAGATAAGACTCAAATTGTTTAATTAGTATAACAATGAGACACACATAGTGCTTTCTTTTGCTAAATTTGGCTGTGCCCCTTGTTTACTCCCAGCTGGGGACATCTTTGCCTCATATTTTATATCATGCTGCATGCATGGTATAAAACAAAACCAATTTGACTGTCATGGCTCAATCAGTAGTCCAGCTGTTATCCACACTTATTTAGCTCCACTAGTTCTAATAGTAGCTATCTGTTGTATCAGGAAATGGCTGTGTGGCTTAATTTTAGTGTTCAGCTTTGGTATTTGCTGCTTTGGTCTAAGCACATGGGCAGAATTACTTGAAAATGAGATGCAGTAAAATAAGGGGTGGACAAACGTGTTCTATGGAGAGCCAACAGTCTGAGGGTTTTCATTGCAACCAACACTTCTAGAGGAAAAGAGCTAATGCTGCGGTCACAGACTGGAATGAAAACCTGCAGACTATTGGCTCTCTCTGGCCTTGCCCCACCCCTAGAATAATTAATTACAAAGTTGTCATGGCTTACATATAAGCAAACAATTGCATACTTACACATTTACTGCATTACCATTTCTTTTATACACAAAGCCACTTGATTCACTGTTAATATAAAAACTATTGATTAGTGGAGGTTTAAAGATTCAGGGAAGCCACCTCCCTTCCTGTTGTGGGTTTTTGATGTCAATTTCTATTGTGCATTGTAGGCAACAGCTACAAATATCAGAACTGTATAAATAGCCAGAATTTTAAAAAATGTCATGGTTGAGAAGTTACTGGTCACAAAATAAAGCTTTATACTGTGGTGAGAAATTCAGGCCAGTGGTGCAATTTATAAAACAACCCACAGTTTTTCAAACAAATGATGCTGCAGTCTAGACTCAAAGTTTCCTAGAAAAAGATGACTGACTTGTATGGTGTCAACATCTGGTGGCCACAAAACAGTATTACAGTCACTTTTCTTGTATATAAAAAGTATAGCATCCTTGTGAGACTGCTGGAAGTCATATAAGGCAAGAGTTGTTTTTCCTTTAGAAAAATGTAATTGTCCTAAATAGGGATGGCAGACATAACTGAATGCAAGCAAAGAATAATAAATCAGTTTACAAACAGTAATTTAACAGTAAGAATATTGCATTAGCATATTGCATTACCTTCAGTAATGGCAGAAAGGAACACTAAATTAACACGCCATAAATGCACACTTACAAACTGTCAGAATTAAATAATAAAGTATCTATACACACACTTGGATGCAAGTTTGGACATTCCTGGACAAATTCAACATTTTGTTAATTTTTGTGAAAAAAAAAAAAAAGATTTTTATATCAAGAAGTGTTTAACGGGCACCAACTGCTAGTCACAAAACACATCTTATCTACACGTTTTAAGACGAATACTGATTATTTAACACTTTCTCAAAGAGTCCAAGCTGGTTTAAGTTGTGCTAAATCCAGAGCCATGGTGCTATCGTCTAGTACTAGCGTCGTAATCCTGCAGGGGGCGCCATTCTTCAACAATTGCCCAGATCAACAGGGTGCATTCATTACACACAATCTGGTTTGTGTCTTTTTCCTCAACTTTTCTCGCACTCATGCTGTAGCTGGCTGTTATTAAGGCAAAGAAAGGAAGTAGCCACAGGCTAGCTTGTTAGCCGGTCTGAAGCCACACAGTATGTGCCGCAAGAGTGGACTTTTGAGCCAATTTTATCTACTCCTCTTTGTTTAGTTCAAGCGTATAAGTAAGCTATGGGTTTTTAGTCGGTTCGTTTTAATGTTTTTTTCCGCCTCGGTTTCAAAGGTTCAAACCGACCCAACCTCTGAGCTTTGTCTGTATGGGACTCCACCGTTGTTAGCCTGCTTCACATAGTCTTGGTTTCATCGAAGGGGAAAACAACCCACAAAGCTAGAAACTGCGTTCATTAGCGTTTCTTTGTTCAGCAGTTGGTTGAATCGTGGGGAATGCAGTTAAGGATTTCACCGAGACAATGAGAACACCAGCCGGGAAAGGTAACGTTACATTCCATATTGTTTGCTCTAGCGCTGGGCTTTGTATAAGTTTGTTCTTTAAAGCAAACATTTACACAGTAATGTATGAATTAGTCGAAATATTTTGGATTATTTGTGTCAAAGGGTGTATGTTTCATTTTTGTGGCTACCAGCGTTGACAGGGCTGTTTTAGGACGCTATTGTGAAGCAGCTGCTCTGTGACTCTCCTGACTCTATCAGCATTCATCGTCTTCTGTTGGAAGTAGTGGTTATGTCCCGTTTAGGACAAAAACGGAGCTAACTACTAACGCTGGTTCTCTCACAGTCGTCCTAGTTAACTGTAACAGGCGATAACGGCAGGTCGCTGGTTTGGCTCTGACACATATCCAGTGGGTGAATGAGCCGAGAGAGTAGGCTGATTTACTGCAGTGTGATGTCCCCAGGCCTGGTGCACAATGTGACTTTATGTGTGACTGGGTTGTTTGGTGGAGTCAACAAGGCTCGCTGAGATCTCTGAAACAGCTCCAAAGGAGTTGGGCTGTTGACGCAGACTTTTGAGTCCTTGACTTAAATCTAACCAGAAGTGTCTAGAAGGGGGTAGCTTGAGCTTATCCAAATTACCATTGTATCGTAAGTGTTAGTATGTGCCCTCCATGGGGCACAATTTATGGCTGAGTGCAACCTTGATTGCAGTGATGGGTCAGGTAGTAAAATACTGCAATAATGGAGCAACAGATCTGCTTAAAACTGGGAGATATGCTACTGTTGTCATTTTGATTTAATCACATAGCTTAAATGCTGCTTTTTTCAGCCTTGGCTGCTTTTCATGTAATTGAACTTGTTTGACTGTCTGGCTGAGTAATATCAGCTGTGACTGTCTCTGCCTACTTTGTCTGGCACTGCACTCCACCGCTCATCCCTGGTTTACAGCTTTAATCATGTGAAATCATTGTCACCAAATCCATTTAGAGGTCAACAGGTATGACTGGGAGATGTAGTTGAATCACCAAAACGCCATTGATGTGATCATTTTGTAGTTTCTTCTTCCATACAGTAGAATATTGGCCAAAACCTAACTGCAGGACCAAGCTCTTGTTACATGACAGTGTCTGGGTGGTGGAAAAATCTGTCATGCATATAGGAACATACAAGTTGTGCACATATGCACTTCACTTGAAAGTTTCCATTCCTCCTCCGAAAACAGTTGCGTTCTTCCAGCAGCCTAACTAGCAAGTAATGTCATTATGCTTCTGTTATGTATATACCCTTTCTCCTGTCACACTGGAAACTCCATCTCTGGAGGGATGGATTGTAATGAGCTGTCAAACTAAAGAGAGGAAAGTTAAAAATATCACCTACTGGATGGTATGTTAGACACATGTGTTCATTTTGTTTTATTGCCAGCTTGGAACAATACCTGCATTAGGTGTTTTGAACTCTGTCAAACATGCTTTTATTTCAAGTCATGTAGTGGTAGGGGTGTGACAATACACTTAGCTCACGAGGTGAGACAATACACGATATTGGGTTCATGAGAATGAGATGATATTTCATCACTGTTTATAAGAGATCATCAATGTCGAAACAGATGACTGGAAAAATAGTCTTTTATTCGACCAAAAGTCACAAAATGCAAAACAGCGCAGGTACATTTCGAAATATTTTAATTAATCATCTTGTAATGAATGTCACTTCAATTCTACTTTCTGAGTATGAATTATCATATGCAGACAGCGATATGCAGGTACTGTAAACGATTTTGCCACAAACTCAACTGACTGGCTTCTCTCCTGTATGATTTCACTCAAGTCTCTTCAGACCTTATAACTGTATATGAAATGTGCATTAGTTTCTAACTTCTAAATGAAGCTGTGTGTGACCTTCTATGCTATTTTCACCCTGACCGCACCGCACTGCGTTGACAGATCGCGTAGGGGGACGATTGGGATGTGGACACTAACCGGAAGGAGACTCTTTTGTTTACCTTATTAGCATGAGCATTCACTGCTATTTACTGTTGAAGTTGGGCCACAATTAACACACTAAAACAACTAGCCATACCCTTTCGTTAGTATTATTAAATGGTGTTTTTCATCTATCTCTGCAGACACACGGGTGGTAGAATTGGTGCCAATGGAGTAGGCTAGGTTAGCAGCATGACTAACCGAAAGTCATGGACTAGAGATGGAGCCACTCCCATTGATGCATCACAATATGGCCATGTACATGCCTGCACATGCTCTCAAATACAGCAGGGGGTTGTGTTTTTGCTGGACCAATGTGAATACATTGTCACACTCGTGTCATACTAGCCTAGTTCTGTTATGTACTGATATTGTGAGACAGCTTTAGCCTCATCAAGAAATTTAATTTAATATCACGAGATCTCATCACACACCTAATAGTTTTTTATGTGTTTATCTTTATCTGTTTTAAAATCAGTTCTCCCGAGCTACCACACCTCAGACAATTAATCACAGAAATAACAAAACAGTCCGTGACAGTCTGTTTTTGGATTTAAAAACCACACCACAGTTCATCATTGCATTATATATACACATATGGCATCAAATTAAAAAGAGGAGCACATTCTGGCAGCTTTTCTAATAAGACCCAACTCTGAAATGACATTGAACAGAATATAGATAGCTTTTAATTTATGCAGTTTATAAGACCTTGCATGTGTATTATTTTGGCTGTCAAAAATATTGGCATCCCTTAGCATTGTAGAGTAATTGCTATTTACTGTAACAGGCGAGAACGGCAGGTCGCTGGTTTGGCTCTGACACATATCCAGTGGGTGAATGAGCCGAGAGAGTAGGCTGATTTACTGCAGTGTGATGTCCCCAGGCCTGGTGCACAATGTGACTTTATGTGTGACTGGGTTGTTTGGTGGAGTCAACAAGGCTCGCTGAGATCTCTGAAACAGCTCCAAAGGAGTTGGGCTGTTGACGCAGACTTTTGAGTCCTTGACTTAAATCTAACCAGAAGTGTCTAGAAGGGGGTAGCTTGAGCTTATCCAAATTACCATTGTATCGTAAGTGTTAGTATGTGCCCTCCATGGGGCACAATTTATGGCTGAGTGCAACCTTGATTGCAGTGATGGGTCAGGTAGTAAAATACTGCAATAATGGAGCAACAGATCTGCTTAAAACTGGGAGATATGCTACTGTTGTCATTTTGATTTAATCACATAGCTTAAATGCTGCTTTTTTCAGCCTTGGCTGCTTTTCATGTAATTGAACTTGTTTGACTGTCTGGCTGAGTAATATCAGCTGTGACTGTCTCTGCCTACTTTGTCTGGCACTGCACTCCACCGCTCATCCCTGGTTTACAGCTTTAATCATGTGAAATCATTGTCACCAAATCCATTTAGAGGTCAACAGGTATGACTGGGAGATGTAGTTGAATCACCAAAACGCCATTGATGTGATCATTTTGTAGTTTCTTCTTCCATACAGTAGAATATTGGCCAAAACCTAACTGCAGGACCAAGCTCTTGTTACATGACAGTGTCTGGGTGGTGGAAAAATCTGTCATGCATATAGGAACATACAAGTTGTGCACATATGCACTTCACTTGAAAGTTTCCATTCCTCCTCCGAAAACAGTTGCGTTCTTCCAGCAGCCTAACTAGCAAGTAATGTCATTATGCTTCTGTTATGTATATACCCTTTCTCCTGTCACACTGGAAACTCCATCTCTGGAGGGATGGATTGTAATGAGCTGTCAAACTAAAGAGAGGAAAGTTAAAAATATCACCTACTGGATGGTATGTTAGACACATGTGTTCATTTTGTTTTATTGCCAGCTTGGAACAATACCTGCATTAGGTGTTTTGAACTCTGTCAAACATGCTTTTATTTCAAGTCATGTAGTGGTAGGGGTGTGACAATACACTTAGCTCACGAGGTGAGACAATACACGATATTGGGTTCATGAGAATGAGATGATATTTCATCACTGTTTATAAGAGATCATCAATGTCGAAACAGATGACTGGAAAAATAGTCTTTTATTCGACCAAAAGTCACAAAATGCAAAACAGCGCAGGTACATTTCGAAATATTTTAATTAATCATCTTGTAATGAATGTCACTTCAATTCTACTTTCTGAGTATGAATTATCATATGCAGACAGCGATATGCAGGTACTGTAAACGATTTTGCCACAAACTCAACTGACTGGCTTCTCTCCTGTATGATTTCACTCAAGTCTCTTCAGACCTTATAACTGTATATGAAATGTGCATTAGTTTCTAACTTCTAAATGAAGCTGTGTGTGACCTTCTATGCTATTTTCACCCTGACCGCACCGCACTGCGTTGACAGATCGCGTAGGGGGACGATTGGGATGTGGACACTAACCGGAAGGAGACTCTTTTGTTTACCTTATTAGCATGAGCATTCACTGCTATTTACTGTTGAAGTTGGGCCACAATTAACACACTAAAACAACTAGCCATACCCTTTCGTTAGTATTATTAAATGGTGTTTTTCATCTATCTCTGCAGACACACGGGTGGTAGAATTGGTGCCAATGGAGTAGGCTAGGTTAGCAGCATGACTAACCGAAAGTCATGGACTAGAGATGGAGCCACTCCCATTGATGCATCACAATATGGCCATGTACATGCCTGCACATGCTCTCAAATACAGCAGGGGGTTGTGTTTTTGCTGGACCAATGTGAATACATTGTCACACTCGTGTCATACTAGCCTAGTTCTGTTATGTACTGATATTGTGAGACAGCTTTAGCCTCATCAAGAAATTTAATTTAATATCACGAGATCTCATCACACACCTAATAGTTTTTTATGTGTTTATCTTTATCTGTTTTAAAATCAGTTCTCCCGAGCTACCACACCTCAGACAATTAATCACAGAAATAACAAAACAGTCCGTGACAGTCTGTTTTTGGATTTAAAAACCACACCACAGTTCATCATTGCATTATATATACACATATGGCATCAAATTAAAAAGAGGAGCACATTCTGGCAGCTTTTCTAATAAGACCCAACTCTGAAATGACATTGAACAGAATATAGATAGCTTTTAATTTATGCAGTTTATAAGACCTTGCATGTGTATTATTTTGGCTGTCAAAAATATTGGCATCCCTTAGCATTGTAGAGTAATTGCTATTTAATCACTCTATGTAGTGCATTTAGTGGTGGTGTTGTAAATGAATGTTTGTGGCTGTTTAGGGCCTTTCGGCTACACTGTGCTGCAGATGAAACAAATGCATATTAAGTACAGGCAGGGCCCTCATCTGTTATATTCACAATCTAATTAACCTCTGAATCCATCAGAGAACACTTAAGAGTTAAATTTACTTTTATCAAAATGCTTCTTGTCTCACAGCCTTAATTAGAAATTTAGATCTATATGAGTTGTATCGTAACTGGAGATGCAGTATTAAGCAAAATGTGTCGTCCCCCAGTGATCAAGCATACTTTCAAATGGCTGTAAACACAAAACCCATGAATCTGTGTTGCATTGCAGCCCTTTTTATGCTATACTCACTTACAATGCATCTGTACACTCACACAGTCCACAGAATGGTTCTCTGCCATCTTTGAAAGAAAAGGGCCATATGGCCCCCTGCTAATGGTTTGTACTCTGCAAACCCCACTGCGGAGCTGTCAGTGGTTGAAGACAAGATGGGGGAGGGGGGTGGACGACCAATTAGGTCTCTAGCTTGGCCCTGAGTTGTAATAGGTCTACACATCCTGATGGATGTAATTGTGTGAAACTGCAGGTGAAAAAATAATTGCCTCACTCGTATCTGTGCCAGTATTTCTCCAAGGAGACTCAAGGAGAGACTCAACACTTTCTTCAGACCAAATTTTCACATTCAGGTTTATTTTCAACAACTAAATCAGACCTAGTGCGTCATTCAAATGAAATGGCTGTTTTCTGCCCTTGGTTTTTTGGCTGTGGGAGAAGAAAGGAGGTTATGGAGGGGAAACATGAGAAGAAACTGCACTAAATGGGTAAAATCATGGCTACTACAACAACAGGCTGAATGGGCTTTCCTGAACCATTCTCTTCTCGTTCATTGAGTCACTAAGCTCAATAGCCAACCAGAGTGGTCTCTCTCTCACCAACGAGGCCCGATCACTGACATCAATTCAACATGTCAAAGCTGCCAACAGGGACCGACTGGGGCAAACGGTGCAGGACACACTGGGAGGACTAGCCCCCATAGGCGCTCGCCTATGCCCTGATGGTGGCTGTAGGCTGACTGTTGGCTTGGTGTGTCTCTGCCCTCATATGATGCTTCTCAAGGAAGCTGCTCTCTGCTGTAATGCCACAGCTACAGTCAGCAACAGAATTTATGAAATTAAAAGGAAGTAGGAAGTAGCGGTTGAAGAATGGTTATAATTATACCAGCTTATTTTAATACTGATGTCACGAAATTTCATGGTTATGGGTGTCTTGTGTTATAAGCATATTTTTTTTTTAGCTGATGACTTAAGAGATGTGGGTGATGTCTTTGTGTTGTGGACAGGAAAAGCTACTTTGCAGAGGTTCCAATGGTTCTGACACCACCTCTGCCTTTTACGTATGAGTCTTTAGGTTTGAATGTGTTGGAAGTTTCTACAGTTGCTTGTAAAGTATTTGATTTCTCACTGTTTGATGTCTCGCAATTTGGTCAAAGGTCAAGGTCAAAGTGTTTATCATATGCACAGCTGGGAAACGTGTTTCCCTGTACAGTGAAATTCTTACTTTGCCGTCCACATGAATGCCACATAATACAAGTGAAATATAAAGTAGATGAGTAATAGTACAAATCTAAATAGGCAATAACACAAATCTAAGGCATTTTAAAGCAGCAAGTGAAAGAAGCACAATAAAAATACAACAAGAACACAATATAATGTAGAGAGAATTTATGCTACGTGGGAGCCGTGGAGTGTAAATACTCAGCAGTGAGTGTGCAATTATACATGTGCAAAATGAGTATGTAAACAGTACAGATGGAATTACATGAGGCAGATCCTGAGTCAGCTGTTTAGGAGTCTGATGGCAGAGGGAAAGAAAGAGTTTTTCAGCATAGAGGTCCTGTGTTTCACACTTCTGAGCCTCCAACCGGAGGGTAAGGGTATAAACAGTCCGTGCTGGGGGTGGGTGGGATCTTTGAGGATGGAGGCAGCTTTCCTACTGTTAGGTATTTTTAGTCAGATAGATATTGGATAGATACTTTATGTATTAGAAATGTTTAGTGGAGATAGGATGTCTAGTTAGACTGTTAAATGCTTAGGCCTGCTTATGAGTTTCTGCAGGGTATTTCTGGTCAAGAATACCAGAGAGAAGAGTTGATGACTGTCAGCAGACAGGGTGTTTAATATTATTATTACGACGTGTATAACTGTAGCCTTAGCCATAATATGTTCTTATGTTTAAGTCACGACATGTTACTAGAGGTCTGTGAGAATGTTTTTAGCTACACACCACTTAACCAACAGACACACACACATTGATTTACTTCATGTTTTGACTAATGCTATGGCCAGCTGCATAGTTGGCACATCAGGTGGCGTCACGGTTTGACGTTTCTGTGTAGTATGGGGCTAGCCCAACCGAAGAGATAAATGTATAGGCCTGGTTTGGTTCAGGGTCTTTCATCTGCCTGCGTGCAGAATGGAGGTGCAAGATGCCTGAGCGTGTAATGTTGATTTTTTTACCTGTGTTCATGGAATAAATCAGCACTGTTTTGTAGTTACTTGGACTGTCTCGTCTCTCAGAGTCAGTATGGTAAAAATTACCGGGTACAACACTACGCACCCTGCGGTTAGTGAAGGAAATTAGGTCACACTGATGGCTGTATGCTAGTGGGGCCAACCTCAGCAGTTTTGTCTAGTTTCAGCCCATTGATTGGTGAATATGTGTAAAATCTGAAGAAAGTGTGGGGATGGTTAACTTTCTCCTGTTGCAAATGTGTTGCCTCCATGTCCACCTGGTGTACAGTACTGCACTAAGATGATGTACAATGTACCTGTGGAATTACGTAGACACCTACAGTCCCCA